AATGAAGCCGTGACTCGGTCATTTGTTTAGCAAGTACTATTGCCAGGCACATAAAGATGACTTTCGGGGAAGGACTTCACTGTGGACTCTAGTAACTTGATCTGAACCTTTTCCTCTGCACTCTGTACATTAGGGACCCCAGGAATATATGTAGGAGGACCATTGTGGCTGGCCAAAGGTGGCTTATGAAACAAGTGGAAGGTACATGCGTTACTTCCAATCTGTACGTAAACAAAACATCCTGCAAGATCTTTCCCCCTCTGCCTGTCTGGAAGGGCAGGACTATGTCAGGAGAGACATGTGATGGAAAAGCCCAGCTGCCTGAATGTGATAAATGCAGTAGGGTGGCACCTGCATTGGACCTTGCACTAGCAGGAAGAGACCTCTGTTTGTTAGGTCATTCACACTGTGATGCTTACCCCCACAGTGTCAGCTGGCCCTTGTGCAGCAGGTGAGGAGGCTGGGTGGGTTAGTTGCCGTCTGAGTGCATGCAGGCTGCCATAACAGGACACCTTTTACCTGGCTGGTTCATAAACAACAAGATTTTCTTTCTCAGAGGCTGCAGAGGCTGGGAAGTCCAAGATGAAGGCAGATCATTGTCTAGTGATGGTCTGCTTCCTGCCTTCTCACATCATGGAAGGGTCAAATGCCTCACTGGGGCCTTGTCTGTAATGGCTCTAATGCACTTGTGGAGGTTCTGCCCTCATGAACTAATCACTTTCCAAGGGCCCCACCTCCCAATACTGTCACCTTGGGGGTGAGGATTTCAACATGGGTATTTGTGGGGGACATAAGTGTTCAATCCACAACAGTTACACAGACTGCAAGAGCTCCTACCTCTAAGGGACCCGATATGTCTAGACTTCCTCATATTGGAAAATAAATGGTTGAACAGATGGAAGACCACTCCCCATCCCTCATTCATCTCCGGTTTCACCACTATGCTCTTTTTTGAAGCAACACTTTTTAAAGAAGTCTGATTTTTTTCAGGGGTGGGAGGGGTGGTACTGGGGATTGAACCTAGGGCCTTGTGCATGTGAGGCAAGTACTCTACCACCTGAGTTATATCCCCAGCCCCTGAAGTCTGTGAATTTTGCGTTCACTTCCACAACTCCTTTTTTACTCCTCAAACTATTCCAATAGAGTTTTTGTCTCAACAGTCCCGCCAGAACTGTGCAGTTCACTAATAATACCCTCATGACCAAATCCCATAGTCACTTTATTGCCTCTGTCTCAGAAATATCTGCCATAGTTACCTTCATTCTCCTTTAAAAAGTTACCATCAAATTCCATTATAAAAATATATAATGATATAAAGAAAAGGCAAGCTACTGTGAAATTCACCATATTTTATTTATATGTACTTATTTTTAGAAATAGCATCTCGCCATGTTGCCCAGGATGGTCCTTAATTCCAGTGCTCAAACAATCCTGCATTAGCCTCCCAAGTAGCCAGGACTTAAGGTGTGTGCTACCATGCCTGGCTTGAAGTTCACCATATTTTCGTGATGGCTATAATTCTCTGTAAAGTGGGATCACAATTATTTTGAAAATTTTCATGAGTGTTACTGTGTAGAATAGATAACACAGCTCCTGGTTTCCCTAGCTCTCTAGCCTGCAGATGGCCATTGTGAACTATCCAGCCTCTGGTTGTATGAGCCAATCTAATAAATCCTCTTTGTATAATCATACCTCCTGTTGATCCTGTTCCTCTAGAGAACCCTGATTAATATACCATCCTTTCTGTCCTTGTGAGTTTATATCTTTAAAATAATTCCTTAATTGTTGTTTTTGAGCAGTCTTTTGCTCTTGCTTTGGAGGGACACACAAAGGAAAGGTATGTTCAGGCTGCCATCTTGGCAGAGAGCTCAAGCTTGCAGTTTGTATGTGCACTTCAGCTAGACTCTTAACTCTGACACTATACCTCTATGTTTCACTGTCTCAGAGGCACTTTTAACATGGGATGATGTGATTTTTTTTTTTTTAGGACTCATACACAGAATTTAAAAAGAAAGCAACTATACTGAACTAAAATGTTTATACCATGAAATGTAACCTTTAAGTGTATTATTTAATGAAGTTTTGAAAGGTTAATAATCTTGAGAACTGTTTGCTAATCTTGTTTCCAGAATGTGCTGTCCCCAACTGCCAAACTGCAGAATGTATTCCCTTACCCGATTGCACGTAAACGGCCCATTCGCCCTGACCCCTCAATGAACTTCCCTCCCTGCCCTCTCCAAGGAAAGTATATAAGCTCTCCTTAAGCTGTACTCGGGGCTCTTTGCTCTATTCAAGTGAGCTCTGAGCCCCAGCATGCTGGGCCCCCAATAAACCCCTTGCTGTTGCATGAGACAGTCTCTTGGTGGTCTCTTCCTCTGATGCTCGCCTGACCTTTACAGTTTGACAAATATATACAGTCAAGTGAATACCCCAGTCAAGCTACAAAGCATTTCCATTATTCAACAGGCAATGAATACCTCTTTGGAAGTAGAGAGGATAGAATTAAAGGAACGGGGTTTAACTGAGTAATATTTTACTACACAAATTGATAAGAATTTGTTTATTATCATAAGGACAACCTGTCACTTTTTAAAAAGGAAAAGCTATTTTTTTCCTGCTTTTTTTCTCATTTCAAAGCTATACCAGGAGTGGCTTCTTGATGCGCCCAGGTGTCCTTGTTGTCATAATGCTGCTGTGACTGTGTTTAGACATGGAGGAGCTAGAGTTCGGGGTGGGGAAGAGCCTCAGGGTTCAGAACACTTGGGTTTCAATCCTGGTTCTTTATTCACTGGTGACTATGTGCACATTATTTACTATTTGTGTCTCAGTTTCCTCATCTATAAAATGGGGGAAATACTAGCACTTGCTATGTGAGGTAACTGTGAAAATTAAAGGAGTTTTAAAGTATGTAGATCAGAGCTGATGTAATGGTGAGCATAGTCTGGTGTGTGGATTTCAGGGTTGAGAATGGCCTTGTAGTGTACCAAGTACTCATGTCCCTAAACCTAAAATATGGAAAAATCATGGCATTGGAAGGAGACAAGTGGCCCTTGGAGATGGAGAGGAGCAAGGTTTCTTCAGCACTGATGTGGGCTCAAAAGAGTCTTTCCCAAAGGCTGAGCACAGACCTTTGTTCTTAGTGTCTGTGGTACAGTACTGATCTCTGGGTTTCAAGACTTTCTCATGCAGGGAGCCTTGATTTTTGCCTCCTTTCTCCAGGCAGCTCCAGTTCTTGCTGGGAAAACATGATTACAGAAGCAGAAACTAGCAGGTTGCAGCTACTAACAGACATAAAACAACAACAACAACATTTTAGGATGGAATTGCTGTTTCTCCAAAAGCAAATGGTCACAGTTACCTCCTCACTTTCCAAAAGTCTTTCTAACCTATAAGATTTAAAAATTCTTTAGCTCTGTTTTCCTCTCCCATTCTCAGAGTAAAGGAGGCAAAAAGTTACCATAATATCCATGAATGCTGTGCTGTCCTGAAATTTCCTCTACCAGATAAGTTGGTCCCTTGTTTTAGAGTGTAACCTCACAGAGTCTCAGGTGTTTCTTGGTGTCAATTCTGATTCAGTTAGCTTCATTTCATGCCGTATCCACACCACCCAACAAGAACAACTTAGGAATGAGAACATTATCTGCAGTGCCTAATTTCAGAAGTCTCAGTCCATAGATGGCCTAAAACATTGTTCTGGGCTCAACGGGAGGCAGCACATCATGGGGCAAGGACCAAGCAATGGAAAGCTGCCCCTTTCATGACAATAAGGGAAGAAAGAGGGGAAGGAGACACAGGGAAGTATCCCCATTTCAGGGCACTACCCCAATGGCCCACCTCCTCCAGTCACATACTACCTGCCCACCCAGTTAGTCCATTGGAACTAGGAGGGTCTGATCAGGTACAGTTTTCCCAATCCAGAAACTTTTACTTTTGAATAGTCCTGCCTTAACACAGCAGCTTTCGGAGAACACCTCATTTTTAAACCACAAGAGGGTGTAAGCCTATCCGCTTGAATCACATGTTCAAGCCCAGCCTGCGTAACTTAGCAAGAACTTGTCTAGCAATCTAAAGGCTGGGGATGTACCTCAGCGGCAGAACACATGCTTGAAGTGTGTGAGGCTCAGGTTGATGTGTTGAGTTGCCAGTAAGTACAAACAAACAAACAAACAAACAAACAAAAGGGTAGGGGGTTCTTGATGGAATGAGTTCCACCCTTCTGCCCTTCCTTCATATGAGTACACAGCACCAAAGTGTGCTTTGACTTTGAACTCGACAGTCTACCGAACTGGGACTAGTTAATTTGTTAATACATCACCCAGTCTAAGGCATTTAATTATCCTACTATGAATTGGTGAAGTCATCTGGGAACACCTCCATTTCTTCCCTCTCTGGGAAGGACACTTTTACTGGTTCTAGGATTCTTGGTTTCTAGAGTTTGTCCTTTATTGCTTTGAATATTTCAACTCTGTTTTGTGCTCCAGTTTTTCTAATGAGAGATCTGATGACGATCTTATGGGGAAATTATGATGAGTCCTTCCTCCCTCTCAACCCCTTAGGTATGTATATTGTGATCTAAAGTGTCTTAGGGAACAGAGCATTTTGTTAAGAATATCACAATATGAGTGAGGTGCTACCATTCTTTGACACCCTTATTCAGTGTTGGAAGAAAAAGCAGTTGAATACCTTGAGTGTAGATATGATGAGGTCTTTCAAAGCCAAAGTTAAACAACAGACTTTCAGTCTTGAAAGGAAAAGTCCACTGAAGTACTGTACGATTTTTAATTTTTAAAGCATAAGTATCAGTTTCCATAACCCATTGAAGCATAAAGCTTATGAAGTCCTTTCTTATTCTTACTCTGAAACTAGAAAAGTTCCTGTAGGACCAAAGGGACATGGCCAGTGTGGGTGATGCCCAGGCATGACTGGGTCATTTCTTACTCTGAGCTCACAAGGAGCCACTGTGAGGGAGCCTCAATCCCAGGGTATATAACAGAGTGACTGAGGCTGGGTTTTTGTCCATAAGTACAGGAAGCTCTTGGTGGTGACCTGTCGGACTCCCAGCTAGTTAGTGCGTTTGGTGGTTGGCGGTTGGTGGTTGTGGTCTTTGGCGATTGGTTCTTTGATTTGGGTTTTTTGTTTTGTCTTGTTTTGTTTTTTGATTTTGGTTTGTTGTTTTAGTTTCTTATTTTGTTTTTAGCTAGCATCCTTAGTTGGTGTACCTGCTTAGGATGCATAGTAAGAGTAGTGAGTTTAGTGTAGTGCCAAAGTGGCTTGGCTCCTGCCAGGAGAAGGCCTTCACAGACCATTACCAGGTCTTGAAGGACATTGGGCATGGGGTATTTGGTAAGGTGATCCTAGCCCGCCATCTGCGCACTGGGGCAGAAGTGGCAGTGAAAATCCTGCCAAAGAGACTTTGGAGGAGTTTGACCTGCTCTGAAAAACTGGCGATGAAGACCCTGAACCACCCGAATGTGATCCACCTCTTTCAGGTTATTGAAACCCACCAATATGTCTACCTGGTGATGGAGCATGGAGGCAGGGGATCGCTCTTTGACTTCATCCCACCTGGGGGCATGCAGGAGGAGGAGGAGGCCCGGAGACTGTTTAGACAGATCACCTGTGCGGTGTGCTACTGCCACAAGATGCACGTCTTACATGGAGACCTGAAGCCCGAGAACATTGTGCTGGATGCCAGAGGCAACATCCGAATCATCGACTTTGGCTTAAGCACCGTTCTCAAGCCTGGGCAAGAATGGGACAGAGCCTGGGGCCCTCTGGAGGGCCCCACAATGGACACCTGGCAACTGGGTATCATTTTGAACTTTATATTGACAGGGAACCGCCCGCGTGACATCTTACACCCCGAGTTGGAATTTCCCCAGCACGTGTCTCCCGAAGCACAAAGGCTCATCAGGAAAATCCTAGCAGAGGACCCAGGAGCAAGCCCCTCGGCAGAGGAGATCTTGGCAGACCCGTGGCTGAATCAGGGTGAGAAGTTACCTTCCCATGATGTGCCCCTCCCCAACCTCTCAGACCCCACAGTACTGGCAATGCTGTTCGACATGGGGTACGACCCTTACAGTACCTGGGTGTCGCTGTCCCAGAGAAAGTTTGATGGGGCGATGGCTTCCTATCTCATAATCCAGCAGCAGATAAGCCAGGAGGCAGGCTGCATGAAGCCTGTGAGAAGGGATCCTTCCATTTCCCCTGCCCTCCTGCAGAGGAGGGCTAGTGAGCCTGCCCTTCACACCTTCCCCTTGCCCTGTGAGCATCATCAGACTCAGGAGGCCAAGGAGTCAGGGCAGAAGGGCTTCAGAAGGGCCAGCTGGCCTGCCATTAGTCTCCGCTTCCTGCATGAGAAGCCCCCCACTCCAAGGCTGGCCTCCCAGCATCACTCTGTGTCCAACTCACCCCAACCCTGCCCATCAACAACAGACAGCCAAGTCTCCCAAGATGCCACCACAGGGTGTCCCTGGGGCCACAGGAAGGGCTGGAATCGGGTGAGGCGGAGGATGGCTGCCTGCTTGCGCAGATTGTGCTGTTACACACCCTCATGTGTTGGCGAAAACGAGGCTCCTACACCAGGAGAGCAGAAACCTTCTAGGTTCACAAATCGGGTGGTTCCTACATAAATGGACAGTTCAGATGGACCAAACGAAGAAACAGCCAGCCAGAGGAGCCTTTGCTCCGTGGATGCTATCACTATGTTGGCATTGGTCACGTGGACCCCAACAGCTACAGGACTGAGTGCCTACTGGCTGGGCTTCTCCACATGGGGTCCAGCCAGGAGCACACCTGGATTTACCTGGAGATCAGGACTCTCCCCTGCCCCCAACTGCCGGGGACATCAAATGAGACTATTTTCCCTGGGACCCTTCCCTTACCCTGCTCTTCTCTGCCCTTTCTCCCATGCTCCTGAGATGACAGAGATATTAATAAATTTGTTTTTCTCAAATTGATGTTTTTCAAATTGCGTAGTCAAATTGATGTTCCAAAAAAAAAAAAAAAAGGCTGATGGCGGAGGGAGAAGGGTCCCTGAGTGAGGGCTGGAGGCCACCAGGCATCCTCTCGAAGGCCTGGATCACTATGCCTCTCTCCTGTTCAATTTAGATAGACTTACTCACCTCAGCCAGTGTACAAGGGAACACACAATTGCCTTTAGCCAGTGTAGATGGCGACTCAGTTACCTTAGTGTAGAGGATCTCTTACCTCTAGCCAATGTAGATGTACACTCACTTGCTTTGACCTACTGTCTTGGAGATTTGCTCTCCTTAACCCAGTTGGATGGGTGTTTTGCCTTAGAGCCAGTGTAGACATGAATGAGTTTGAGCTCATGTCCTTTGGCAGAAGGCATCCCTACCTGAAGTGTGTGGAGAGGATGGGTGGCAACTGTTGGAGAAATCACATCTGAGAAGGCATAGGAGACCCCAGAGAGTTCTATGACATCATCTCCTTCATACTGTTTGCTAGGAAGTCGGAGGGGGCCAGGGGTTAGGGGTGGGCCTGCCTGCAGCAGTGACTGTGTGCCTCACCACCTGCCATGCTGCCTCGTCACCCAAACCCTCCTCATGGCCGCTGCTGGAGGTAGAAGAGGAGGGAGCACATGGGGTTTGGGGAGTGCAGATGACAGGCCATCTTATGGATGATATTTGCATGAAAGCAAAATGTACTCTTGTGGAATTGCTCTTTGCTTTGAGTTCTCTTGATGCTGAAGTTTGAAGCATGCACAAATGAAGAGTGGGAAACACTTGGGTTAGCCAGGAGGGGAGAGGCTCTAACTCTTCCATCCCTGATATTTCCCAAGACTGCGCCCCCACAGCTGTTGTGGCAGCTTCTTCCTGCTATCCCTTCAGTGGTCAGGTATGGATACCTTAAAAAAATGTAGGGCTTTTTGTCATTTTAGTAGTTTGCCATTTTCTGATGGGGCCCCATTTGTGAAATTATCAGAAAATTAACACTTTGCATGTTTTCTATAGAAAATCCCAATGGTGATGAATCCTTCTAAGGCAAAGCCACTTCCCAGCTCAAGGCAGGGCACAGGGTGTACAGACAGGAAATGGCCATTTTCTGACCCAACCTTGGCCTAGGGAAGGGATTGCCTAAGAGCTGCCTGAAAGGTCCCAATGTGCAGGAGGTTCTGGGAAGCAGGAGAGGCCTACTGAGGATCATGGAGGAGTGTCCTGGGGAGGAAGCCCAGGCCCAGGTGACAACTCCAGGCCCACACTGGGACAGTCACAGAGGTGTGGGAGGCAGTGTAGAGGAAGAGCGTCTTTTTGCATTTTGTGTGGTTGTTCTCAGGAGCAGAAGGACAGGGTGTCCTGGGCTGGCATTTGCCTCAAGGCCTGTCCCTGGGCCAGGCTGGCACTTGTCAGGCAGGTGTTCTCCCTGTGGCTCCTAGAAACAGATGTTGGCCTTCCAATGGGGCAATGCAACTCCCCCTCTGGAGGTTGGAAGGAAGGGCTCTTTCACTTAATTATTTCAATATGTGGATGCCGAGCTCCTTCACGCTGAGGCCTTTCCAACAAGTAGAGCACAAACCATAGGTTCCACCCTTACAATCTACACTTGGTTTTCCACTTTGTGTCCCAGATGCCTGTTCCTCCAGGGCCTCCTTGCTCCACAGCCTCCCATGGCCTCTTCTTTCCTGCGGGACTCAAGTGCAGTCAAAGGGGGATGGTGGCTGTTGTCAGTGCGTGTCCCCACCTGACAGGAGTTTGTCAGCAGTGGTCTAGAAAGCCAGGTTGACATTTATCTTCACAAACCTGAATAGAACAGGCCTCATTTTTACAGTGACAGCTCAATGAACCTTTTTTTTTTTAATGTATCTTTTTTTTTTTTTTTAATAATGTGTGCAACTTTAGGGAAAACATGATAATGACAGAAAATGATTAGAGCAACTGAAAAACTTTAAACACACAGTCTATACAGTTTAGATGAGAGATCAATTTGTAGAAAAGCTTAAACTACCAAAAGAACACGAGCATTTACATGGTCCAGTGATCATTAAGAAAATTAAGTTCCTAATATGAAATCTCCAAGAAGCTCCTCAGGTATAGATACTATCAGGGGCCATTTCTACCCAAGCCTACTCAGGAGGAGAGCAGAGACAATGTCCCTTGTGGTGACTGAGGCACAGAAATATCTCTAGTTGACATCTTTCCCAGAACTGGGAAGCAGTCCTAGTGGGAGAATGACCTTGATGATGACATCATGATTTTGGACATATATTCTCCAGAACAATGAGAGAATCTGTGTGTGCTCTTTTAAACCACTGTCTTTGTGATGCTTTGTTGTGGCTTTGTCATACCCAGAGGAACGGAACTTACTAGAGACCAGCCAAACTGGTCTAGGTAATGTTACGTTTCATGGTGAAAGGATGAACAAGGTAAGAATGCCTACTCTCAGCACCTTTATTCACCAGTGCTGGAAGTTCTAGCCAGATCATTAAGACAAGAACAGGGAATGAAAGGCCTCTAAATCACAAAGGAAGAAAGAAATCAGTTCCCATTTAAATATAATATGATTTTATACAGACATTTTTTTTAAAGTTTCCAGGAATTCCTAGAACTTAGTAGTAAGTTCAGCAGGTTTTCAGGATTCAGAATGAATATCAAAAAATCTGTTTTATTTATGTACAGTAACAAGGAACTTGTGGAAATTTAAGTTTAATTTTAACTTAAACAGCTCAAAAGAGGTACTCACTTTGTATTTATCTGATGGTTTCTTTCTTTTTTTCTTTCATGCGTTGTTAAAAGTCACAATTAGCATTATCTCCTGCTATTTATTTATTTTCAACATCTAAGCACATTTACCTCATAATGAGTGAAGTAGTTACTATTGGGCATTTTAGTTGCTTTTGGACAACAGGGAGAAAATTTTATCTTTGGTACCATGATGATTTTTGTTTTACGCAAAACTCTATGTATATGATTAAGTTTAATGTATAATGTTTTGCCATATTCTAACTTTAGACTGCATACTTAAGTGCTGAGTACTTAGATTATGAACATTTATTCAACAAACTGTTGATAGGGAGACGTGTTTTTCCACTAAATTCATAGAAATGCCCCTTCTAAAGTGAGAATATATAAATTAAATATTTCATTGGTGATGGGAAGACTGAAAGTAGAGAAAAATCAAGGTACAATTTTTCAAATCAACAGGGCATGTGGAACATATTTTAGTTTAAGAAGAATATTATGATTAAAATAAAATGGGACATAGCGGTAGAAGATAATATTATGACATGGTTTGAGACCGAATTTGAGGAGTAAACTTTATGTATTGCTATACAATTTATTATCTTATAATAGATTTTATAGTTTGCATTTGTGGAGTTATAAAAGGTTTTCTTTGCAATTGATAACTGTTACCTCTGCTAATAAGAATAACAAGTTACTGATACGTATTATTTTAATGTCTGAACTCTAAATATGTGAACATTTTCGTCAAGTTATTTTCTCACCCAAAGACTGAGTAATAGTTTTCCTAAATTTCATTTGATCACATCTCCAAATACAAAAGTTGTTAAATTTCCCTGTGACTTCTTTGCTAGAGTTCATTGAGTAATAAAAATATAGATAAAAAATAATGAAAATATAAGAGAACAAATGTGATACCTTATTTTGTACCAGCAATTAATCATGTCATTAACATAAACAACTCTAATATCCAAGTAAATTTTTTATAACAAATTGTACTAAAAGTTTTATGAAATGGGAGAATATTATAAATACTTCAGAGGAAGACTAAAAGTAAGGATGGATGGTTTATCAATTTAAATTTAAAGGTAACTAAAACAAACTTCATTTTTATTGGTTAACTTTATAGGTGATGCTTTCCAATGAATTTTTAACTTAGTTTATTGATTCCTTCACCTCAAGGATTTCCAACTGATTCTTCTTTAGGATCTCTATTTTCTTATTGAGTGGTTTTTCACTTCTTGTATTTTGTCTCTGACTTCATTTCTTACACCGTCTTTTATCTCCTAGATCAGTTTAACCATGACTTTCTGAATTCCATCTCTGACATTTCCTCACTGTGATGTCACTGGAGTCTGTTGAAGTATTCTATGTTGGTTTTGATGGTTTATTTCCTTGCTTTTTCATACTGTTTGTATGTCTTCCCGTCTATCTGGATGGATCTGAAGCTGCAAAGTTTTTACCTGACAAGTTGATAGTGTCCCTCTATGTTATTAGTACCTCACAGATTGCAGGGCAGCCCAGTGATAGCAACCATCTATGCAAACAATATATAGCAGTAGACTAGGTACTTAGTTCCTATTCTCATATCTATAGTGTTAATTGGTACAATATGCAGAAATAGGAGGATCAGCAATTTCCATCAGTCAAAATAACAAATAATCATGAATTATATCTGTTATAAAAATCAAGCAATAGGTGTTATCTATGACTTTTGCCATATTAACTATTGCTGTGACATTGGTAGGGGCACACATTATAGACATCTGTTTACATTAAGAGATGTTAAGGATAGAGTTGAATATGAGGAAAGAAGAAGAGATAGGAAGGTAGAAAAGTATTTGCAATTTCAAAAGGGTGAATGGGGCAGATGAAGTGGTAACTTAGGATATATTGTTAATGAGAAAGTGTAGGAAAAATAGAAGAATATAAAGGCATAGAAAGATAATGGAATTTAGTTGACAGCAACTGAAAAAATAGAAAGGGAGAGAAAGAAGATAGAGTAGTGACAAAGACTATACAAAATAAAATAAAACTATGCTAATGAAGACCTGATGCAGTGGTGCACACCTGTAATCCCAGTGGCTCAAGGATGCCGAGACAGAGGATTGTGAGTTCAAAGCCAGCCTCAGGAAAAGGGAGGTGCTCAGGAACTCAGTAACATCCTTTCTCTAAATAAAATAGAAAATAGGTCTGGGGATGTGGCACAGTGGTCAAGTGCCCCGAATTCAATCCCTGATACAAGAAAAAAAAAAAAA